TACACAAAGCGAAAATGCTCCAAAGGTATTTATTTGGTCCAAAACAAAATTAGCGCCGGCGGCAACTATTTTGAAAACAGCAATAAGCGCTCTGCGCTTACACATTAGCGACGGTAGTCTCTGCATAGTACAGTATTTTGGGGTGTCTTGTTGTGCTGCACTGGCTAAAAGTTGGCACGAGCATGGGATGCCACCAGCGGACAGCTTTTTGAGCCGAACCCATTGGCCGTAATCGATTATATAATACACATGCTATTTTTCGAGAAATACATTCCTTGTTGTCCGTAGTAAAACATAGAGAAAGCCTGAGGCCATTCACTGATCTCAGATTGTTGCTGCAACACTCCTAAATTACTTCGCTGCCTATGCCTCAGACTTGACAGTCGCTAAATCAAGTTTCGGTTATCAGTTTTCTGTTTCGCAAGCACCCGCTCAGGTACTCACGTTCACGCTTCCCGCTGCTCTTCTTTGGCATCAGTCGGCTCTTGATACCTTGCTTCATCCACTGAGCAGTACGGTACGGCCGCAAACCTGCGATTCCGCGTTGCCGATTGTGGAGCTGGCGCTTGTGAGCTGCGTCAAGCTGCTTTTGTTCTTTCTTGTCGATCACTCCGTCGTCCGCAAAATGAGCATTACGTTCGGCAAGGAGCGCTTCGCCTTCAATGTGATCGCTGTAATCGACGTAAGTTAAAGCTGCTGCGAATCATGTGACTAGAACGTACTAGGCTTCAAAGGCGTGACGGCGAGCCTGGCTGGCTGCATGTTTTTCGTGATCCTATCGAATAGTGTCAGGGCCAAAAAAGCAACCAAAATCCATCGCGCTCACCTCATCCAGCCCGGCATCGAGCTTGATCCTAGTAGTCAACCAGCCGACAATCTCATACTCGTGAGTCTTCTTCGTCTGCTCAGTCAACACGTTCTGGCGCAACTGCTTCAAGTCCTTGCCCACAACGATAGGCACACGAATCTCCGTTTCTTCATCATCAATCAGATCCTTCAACCACAGAACTGCAATCGCATCGGGTGCAGAGCCCATGATCCCTCCTCCTCCAAACTCGAATACACACGACGAGGCGTAACGACTGTAAACTGGGAGGCGGAGCATGTCGATCGAGTACGAAGTACGTCCTTCCGAAAGCGCGGCAGATTTGGGTGGGATGTTTTCGGTGCTGTCGGTGGTCGAAATGGTGAGTTTCGTGGGCATCTTGGAGAGTTTGTGTGAGGAATTGGGCTCGGGAGTGATGATAATATCATCGAGAATCTCCACGGTGCCAGTGTCCCAGCCGAGCATGTTACGAGGAAGCTTGGCGTCGACGCCCTTGAACAAAATCGAAACATTCATGCGACTGGTAATAAATTGAGTACTCGATATTGAAATTTGATTCTTCCGGCTTACCCGAAACCAATACCCTCTTGCAGGGCAAACAACCTAGTGACCTCGGAGGCATCTTGGAACAAATGCTTCAGATCAAGATTCACAATACCCAGGATCGGGTCGCGCTCGCGAAGCCTTTTCAAGTCTTAATCAGCCTTGGATACCCGATACAGTTGTGCATATACTAACCTCGAATCGCGAACCACGATTCTAACAACTGTATTCTGCCAGTCACGAACAAAGGTCTCGGTACCAGCTTCGAAGAACGGCTGGGAAGTGTACTGCTTCACACGCCTAAGGTGTATGTAAGCTTCAACCCAGTTGAAAGCGTAAATCAAACTTGCGTTTTGTAGACCATATCGTCGTTGACGATAATCTCACAATAGCCACTTGGCAAGTTGGGGCCTTGTTCGCTTGGTTCGTCGGTATCTTGTCCGGCTTGGCCTTCCCGCTCTTTCCCGGTGGTACCATACAAGTTCTGCCTTTCGAGATTGTTGATTTGGTGAACCACGACCTTGAGAATTCCAGACGGGAATTTGGGATCAGGAGGGGTGCGTGAAACGTCAGCGGGCGGCGGAGGCCCAGTCTTGGCGGGGAGCGGTGCTTTGTCGCCTGGACGCATTTCCATCTCTGGTGCGGTCTATGATTCAAATAATTGAGATAATGTAGCTAAATAAAGTAAAGCTTCAAACCTTTTTGGGCTCGGGAGGGTCCTCGGGCGCGCGTTCGAGCTCCTTGTTGAGCGGAACCTTGGGGAAATACCCAATCGACCAGCTGTAATTCGATGAGCGAGCGTCCCCAGAGCGAGACTAGAATAGATACGCACTGTAGCGTGCCAGACATAGCAGTCGCGTCTTCGAATCCAACGAGTTTGTCGGTGCGGCGAACGACCTCGTTTGGTTTGCTAATGAGCTCCTTGACGGGTACTTGAACACGTCCAATCAAATCGCTACATCCCCAAGACATTAATATATGACCCTAACCCAAAACGAGAAAATCACATACTCTGCAGAGCGCTTATCACTATCCCACAGCATAACACCCAAGTCCTCCTCGGCCTTGATTTCGTCTTGCGTGAGGATCAAGGCGGCAGTCTCTTCGTACACTGGATTGAGGTCCCCGAGAACAATGCGAGTCGAATAAAGTGGTTTCCCAAACTATATCTTGAATGAGCACTTTGATTTCGAAACAGAGCAAAGGAACGAACCTTGGCATAAGCTAAAACAATGTACGGATCGGAGCGCCCACTCCTGTCTTGGGCAGAAAGGCCCTCGGCGTGGTGGATCGTAATAATGAAAACACCCTGTGCGAGGGTGTCTGGCCATTCAGATCTCGGTTAGTTCTCTATCGTTGAGTTGTCAAGAGCAAAACGCACCACCCAACGCAGCTCCGCTCATCATCTCCTTGATATTCAATGTCATACTCTTCGGAGCCACAAGTTCGGCCGTCTGAAATCGGTGAGTCAGTTGGGGTTCACGGGAAGCCATGAAAGAAAAATGCATACACCGGCGGCAATTGCCATCTTGACGAACCTCGAGATCAAAGGCAGGTCCAAGACGTTTGGAAGGACTCGGCTCATCGGAATAGCTGAAACCTCGACGCCAGGGACACCCATGAGCGTAAACGTCAACTATTACCCATGACGTTAGCTGCAAAAGCATGATTAAGCGATCGAGGCAACTCACGTTGCGCACAAACGGTGGCTCTGGAATAAACTGGATCCTCAATCGCACGGTTCCGACAATCCCATCCACTTGAATCCAGATTGGGATAGGGATATGCAACCAGTCGTAGACGCCGAGGAAGAACTCGATCAACAAACTATATGGTAGCGCATTAGTACCGAGTTTGCCAAGAGAAACTCCAAACGTACTGAATATTCTTCTCCTTGGTATCGCTCCCTTTGCCCGGTTCGGCAGAATATGCAAACGCGACTTCAAAGTTGACATAGTCTCCAGCTTGATCCGCGTCTTCTCCTGCCGCCTTGGCCTTTTCAGCTCGCTCCATGAGTTCGTTTGTGCCTTGGTCGATCCATTCCTCACGTGGGTACCTACGTGAAACCGTTAAAAGGTAATTATATGAACCGAGTGGGCGACCCACTCTTTGTCACCAGGCTGGTCTGGCAAAGCACGCATCGAGATAATACGGAACGGGTTGGTACCTTGGCCAATATCCGAAATGCGAACAGCATCGACGAACCCAGGGAGAGATTGCTATGTATCATATGAGTACAATCTTCGATGTCGAACTGAGAATGAGCCCACCTGCATAATGTCCTCGATCGTGTCGGCAATCGGAACAAACATCTCGGGATTGACCAGTCCCCAAATGGTCTTGGTAAACGCATTCAGCCATTCGACGCTCTCTGGAGTTGGAGGGCTAAATTTCTCGCCACGTTGGCGATGCATATCCAAGCGAACGCGCTCGACTTCCTTTTCGAGACTGCGCTGGATGATCGAGGCGAGGGTGATGCATGAGAAACCAAGGGCGCCGATCAAAGAGGAGCGGAAGAGGAAGCGCAAGAATCCACCACCGAAAGCGGTAAAGAACCAGATGAGCGCAGAAGAGGCGGCAATGGCTTTGGCCGGTTGTCAGAAATACAAATTGCTCATTTTGAAGGAAATGCTTACCGATTTGAAGGCGGTCAAACGAAGCCATGACCTTGCCCATGTACGGAGGAGTGCTCGGTGGATACGGCTGGAGAGAGATGTTGCCTGGGCGAGCAGGGTTCGGTGCAGTCTTGTCCGAGCGGAAACGCGAGGGGATATGGGATTTGTGGTCGCCGGTAACCGGTTGAGTTGCGGGTCCAGCCTCTCCAGACGAAGGGTCGATTTCGGCTTGACTTGGGAAGTCTATTCGAATTAAGTTAGGACATATATAGAGAAGTGAGATACAATGAAGCATACCTTTGAACTCGGCATCCTTGATGGTGACCATTTGGCCAGTCGTCGGGTCCTTGACGGTGCGTTCTCCACGCTTGTGCTTGACCTTATCGGTCGGCTTCTCCTTTGGGCCCTGCATGCGCTCCTTCATTGCCTCCTTCTCGCTCATCTGGGCCTGCTTTTCTTCTCCGACTGGTACTCCCTCGCCCGAGTGCGCAGGGTGCATGTGGCCGTTTCCGTTGGCCGCCTTGTTGGATGCGGTCGCTGGGTTGTCTTGCTCATACCGGGGTGTTTTCGGGAGGTCCTTGTTCGCGTCAAAGGAGAGCTTGGACGACGGAGAGAGGGGCTCGGGCGACGTCGAGTTCTCGCGCGCCTTGAGGTCGGCTTCGTACCGCTGGATGGTCGGGACCGGGTTGGCCTCGCTGCTTCTCGGTCAGCGCTTCTCCAGGCCCGGACTGATCGAGACGCACCTATATCCTTGGCCAGCTACGTGTGCCATTGTCGGGGGTAACGACAGGCAACGTACTCTCCCCACTGCATTTTATGGCCTGGCCAAGCGTCAATGTCATCGGTGACGTCGTCCCGGCGCTTACCCCGATCAGGCCCTCGTCATCGACGTCGGTCAGCCATCTCGCATTCTGTACTAGAATATTACGTAGCCGTGCCTTATGACGCCCCTCCCCCCCGGATATTAAAACGAGCTCGGAACCTATAGACCAGGGGGCAGACAAGATAAAAAGTTACTCTCCCACTTAGGATCGAACTAATAACCTTCTGATTGGAAATTCAGTTGCGCAAGTCGAGTATGCCTAACAAATCAGACGCGCCACCGATTGTGCCTCAGGAGGTCTCGTAACCTCGGGTAATGTCTCGCTTGTTGCGCTCAAGATGGACACTTCGCTCGGAATAGATAACGTTCCGTGTGTCCGAGAGCGAAGCGTTGTCTGAGAACAATTCTTCGCGCCAAAAGACGACATCTGGGTCCTTTTATCTCACTTGCATGACCCATGTAACCGAATCGCACAGCGACTGGATTTGTAACCGACATTCGCAGAAGCTGAACAGTACATAATGTCCATCTCTCCTCACAATCATCTCGGCCAGCATATATGTATCAATCTGGTTGCCGAGAGGTGGCTGCCTTGCCCCTTCTATCATATCGACAGAAATCACCCCGTCTTGATGATTCGATATTAGACCAGACAATTTACCCCAGGGATACGCAATATTGGGGGTGGGGCCATAATTTACGATATTATGCTGCCGCTAATGGTGGCTATATGCCAGTGGAATTCGGGTATCAAGATTATCCATATGGTCCTGTCGATCAATCAGACGTTGCAGAGGCTCCGGAACTATTTACGCTAGTCCTCATAGTTGAACGGCTTATTTCATGTCTATTTTATCTAGCTCTACGTTTGACTGCTTCTGATTCCCAGACTAAAGGATGGCTTGGATATATTTTGAGTAAGGTTTAGCGGCGATATGATCCTATTGCATGAATACTCGTCATATTGGCCACTCATATGGTCCTATATCCCAGCTACGGTGGCCATGCCCAACATAAACCTCAGGTTCATCTCATATCATCGCCCGACGGCAAGTGTTTCTCCATTGGTACTTGGACACCGGCGACCTGGAGGTCACGATTTCCCATGATCCAATTCGTAGATGCCCACGGGCAAGGGATAAGGCCTATTATCGCAAACCCTGGATTTCACACGGGGCTTCCCAATAGGGAGAATGACACATGAGTACAACCACAGCGTGCCAAGCCAAACGGGGCTGTGTTAGGTACGATAATAGAATGATGGGCGCCAATTGAGACACCACATCCCCCCCGGCTTATATTTGGTTGTTCACTGCCCAGATCCCCTGCCCGTCCGTTTGTTCCAGCATGAGAGACTTGGTTTTCTCCGTTATCGCTCTTGCAACCTGGGCTTGCGCGTCTAGCATTACCATTCGAAAGGCTACCCTGCCGGCTGGGGTCCGGGGTGCTACACCACCATCAATCCGGCTCGTCACTGGAGATACCATCATCAAAAATGACCAAGAGCAGGGCTACTTTGCGGATGTCCAGGTTGGAGGGCAAAGTAAGCTCACGTGTAATCCTACTAAACATATCCACTGCTGACGCCCTCGGAATGATCAGACTTTTCGCTTGCACTTGATACTGGGAGCAGCGACTCGTGGATTGCACCACGCCCAGAGATAAACTACAACAACACGTTTTCGAACGCAAGAATTTTTGTACGTCAAATTCGATCCAGGTTATACTAGGTCCTTGGTGATGATAACCCATCGCAGAACGATCTATACCTCAACCTGACATATGGCTCTGGATCCGTGGAAGGATATGTCGCACAAACAGACAACGTCGGATTTGCTGGTTATACTGTCAATAATCAGACTCTTCTTTATGTGACCAAGCAGGACCTTATCTTTAACGAGACAGAAGCTCAGGATCCGGCCTTTGGTGGTATCGTGGGAACTGGCTTTGATACTATTTCGCAGATTTTAAACGCGGTCGCCAGTGCGACAAACGAGACGTGGGGACGAACCATACTTTCGAATATATTCCTCGCGAACCCTACACTTCCAAACCATATAGCGATTTTCCTTGACCGCCTTGGCTACCTTAATGACACAGGGAACGGCACGTTTGATATCGGGACCTACGCCTCTGGCTTTGAGTTGGTAGCAGCCCAGCCGAAACATCCCGTCTTTACTGGGTACGCAGAAGGAACCTTTCAGTGGAATCTCCTCTTGTCCGATCTTAAAATAAATGGCCAATCCCAAAAGTTGAAAACCGAACTCGTTTCTAATGATGAGACGCATTTAGTCAATATTCCACCAGAAGGAAGCATCTCAGTTCTCCTCGATACTGGTTCGACGTTAGGCCAACTGCCGACCGCCGCCTGGAAAGCCCTATACGAGGGTATGGGTGGCGTTCTCGTCAAGAACCAGTCTTATACGGAAGGCGCATTGTTGTACGCTGTGCCGTGCATGGCTGAAGCTCGATTAGAGCTAGGTTTCAAGTAGGTGTTCTAGAAACCGAAGCAGATATAGCTATTCACGACATTGATGCTAGCAATCAATCGATCCTGGTTCACCCCTTGGACCTTACTAACCTCACAGTTGTCACACTTCCAGACGGAAGCAACTTGACCGCTTGTATAAGCTATTTTGAGAATGGCAGTTGGTATGGAAATGACAACGATCTTGTGTTAGGAGATGCCTTTGTAAGCAATGGAATCCTATACCACCATTCCTCCCAGTAAGATCTAACATGTCTTACCAGCTCCGGAATGCTTACGCCGTTTATGACTTTGGCAAACTCACAAACACGCTATCGGGCGTTGCTGGCGATCCATTCATCCAGCTTCTACCACTCACAAACGAATCCAAGGCGAGCGCCGAGTTCAAGGAGGCTCGTGCAAAGGCACTTTCGTTTTTCCCGCCCGAAATTAACGTTTCGACAATCAACGACCCAGTGCCCCAGGCTTTGGGCCAACCTTCTTCCGGTTCTGGGTCTTCAAACGGCGGCACCGTTAGTGTGGACTTGTTCAAGTTTTTGCCCTTGTATGCTGCCATATTCGTGGTGTTTCTTAGTGCTATTATTCAATAGGCAATGCCTCTGATCTTTTCATGCGACGAAACATGTAATACATGTATGTAGACAATACCCATTGATTGATACTAAGTCCGATATGCTGCCGTTCCAACAGCCGTACGCCCCCTCCTCAATTTATAGAGCCTGAATGCTGAAGAACCCGGCCTAATGTGACAGCGTTTTGTTTGGGTGTCGTAATAGCACGATCCATGATCAAGATTTGTCAGCCAGTGCGGGGCCTGGCCTCTGAAAAATCCTTCCACTCACGGCCACTATCCTCATGGCTGACTCGATCGCGATCCGACACTCTAGCCATGAGGAGCGCTGCTCCTTCCCCATGAGCGCAACCACGTGAATCGGTAATGCGTGGCGGCTTGAACTATCGAAAAGGCATACTTTTTCTTGTGGGGAGCATCCACGCATGCCTTTCGTGCACCACCAGGGATCCTTCTGCGATTTGATCTCTACATTTGATCTCTTGTGGCAGCAACTATAGTTAAAACTGTGTTATATGAGTTTATATTTCTCCTGGTGGCTTTGAAAGCTCTTCGTACTTATCTTGGTACCAGCACCAGTGATCCCGAATGCACGTTCATCCAGTTTGGCCTCCCCATCTCGTTATACACAGGATCGATAAAGATAGTTTATAGCTTAGACGTAGGTCTTCTAGTCGTAACGTATCAAAATCTAGTCAACACTGCTGTTTTACTCCGTTGGGTCGCTCTCTGATTATTGATCAGTCGATCCGACTTGCTTCGTGTGATTTTTCTGTACGTGAGGTTAATTTGCGACAACATCGGAAGATATCACATGTTTAGTCTCGAAAAGCCTGGATGCTTCAACCAGCAGGTCGTCGAGTCTGATCTATAATTATATTTACATGTGACACAGTGCCGTTCCAGGGGAAGATGGTGAAGAACACACAGGTCGCTTCGTACGCTCTTCCGATCTTCGGTGTGAATCTGGTTCAACCAGTGGACCAGGGCTGGACATCCGAGGAGAAGGCTCGAGTTGATGTTCTATTGTTCAAATACACAATGGAATGAAGTTACGAATGATATTTTGGCATCTTATTTGGCCGTCCTCGCAACTCGAGCGCACTGGATACCTGTGATTGTACGCTGGTTGAATTCATTCCCAACCGACGGAGTCAAATTTCTTCGTTACGCTCTCATCTGGGACCCCGTTTAAAAACAGGCCTATGATTCCTGCTCTGTACGTTAACCAACCGGAAACAACGTCACAAACCTAAATCAGGCTCACGAGGCAGTGTCCCAGGGTCTATTTTTATATATTCGGCCCTAGTTTGGCCGGAGCCGGCTGTCTCAGGTGACAATACGCCCGGCTATTGATTCAAGCTACATATATACCACGAGGTGTCGTCGGAAGGACTGCTCCAACTACCCCTCCCCGAACATGCGACGCGCCGCCTTGGGAGTTCTCTCACTTGCGATCGGTGCTTCCGCCGAGAGCTTCACTATTCGAAAAGTGAACCGAGAGACCTCGGTCCGCGGCTCCTCGAAATACTTTACTTCCCAACTCGCAACAGGCGACACCGTCATCAAAAACGACCAGGCACAAGACTATGTAATAGAGGTTTCGTTCGGTGGGAAAGGTGAGTCGGATGCCTCGCGAGCGAAGCCGATCTAGCGCTAATTCCACATTGAACGATCAGCGGCAACTCTAGTATTGGACACTGGCAGCAGCGACTTGTGGCTTGCACCTCTTCCTAACGTTAATTATAACCAGACCTTTGCAAATGCCAAGATCTATGTGAGTCTGTTGCTTGTCTGATGCACGTTGGTCTATTATCTGATTTCTTCAGAATAACCTACCTGCGAACCTTACATATGGCACTGGCTCCGCAGCAGGCTATGTCGCCCAGATGGATAACATTGGTTTTGCTGGCTACACGGTCAACAACCAATCCTTACTCTATGTGACAAAGCAGGATGACGTATTCGACGAAATTGAAGCGCAAGATCCATCCTTTGGCGGCATCGTGGGAGTCGGGTTCGACACCAATTCGGAGATAGCCACCCTAGTCTCCAATGCAACCAATGAAAACTGGGGGCGAAGTGTTCTCTCGAATATATTCCTTGAGAATCCCACCCTGCCCCACCATATCGCCATCTTTCTCGATCGTCTTGGATATCTCAATGACACTGGCTCTGGCACTTTCGACATTGGGACTTATGCCTCCGGATACGAAGCAGTGACGAGCCAACCCAAACA